GAACTAAGGAATGGCAAAGTGCCCTGTAGCCATTCAAGCAAGCTTCTGCAACCCTTCTTTACCTGTTAGAATCCCACGTTTAATCACATCCGCAGCACGTTGCAATTGTGGCTGTTGTTGTCCCAGGCCTCAACTCTTCCACATCTCGCAGCAGAAGCACACACCCCTACATACAGTTCCCATCTTCTGGGATGGGACTGCACATGCCATCCGCCCTTCCTATAATTAACTCAGCTGCTGTTAAAAGACCCCAACCCACCAAAACACTGAAAACATAACACAAAACCATCATAACCCCAAAGAAAATACTAGATTTTTATTCTTTCACTTTGTATTTTTTGTTGTTTAAGCAACCCTTCAGAGTCTGCACTATTCAAGAGATGTTGGCACAGGAAAGAACCAGATCAGACTTGACATTGCTTACTGCTCTACTGCACGCATGCTGCAAGTATTTTGACAACTGCAGAATTAATTTTGCAGAAGACATAGCAAGCTGCCTGGCAGAAGAACCTGGTTTGCTTGCTCATCACTTGCTCTGCATGTAATGCATGTCCTCTTTTAAGCTGTGGTTGTACAGCAGAAAACAAAACTGCTTTGCCCTGAAATAAACGAAAAATTAGTTTCCAGCATAATTGGCTATCCTGTCTTCCTAAGCAACCACCATGCATGATGAATCCCTGCTGTCCTGGGGATGGTTGAACATATGTCTGTCCATGCAAAGTGTGGAATTAATTCCTTGTTCTGCTTTGCTTGCGTGTGCAGGTTTTGCTTTACTTATGAAACTGTCTTTAAATCAACCCACAAGTTCTTTTCCGATTTCCTCCGCTATCCCACAGTGGGAAGTGAGCAAGTGGCTATGTGGCCAGCTGGGGTTAAACCACAACACTAAACTAGCATGACACTTCAAGACAAATAGTTGATTTCCAAGATATGTGTAAGGATGCACACGCTCATGGTTAGGAAGTAAACACCATACAAGCAAGACTTCTGTGATCATTTAAACTTAAAATACAGTAACAGGTGAGTTCCAAGGGAGCCCTTTCTTTGCTCTGTAGCCATTAATCTCTACAAATGGTGTGCCCACTTAATCCTTACCCTCAATTTTAAAATAGAACTAGAGGAGAGGCCCCAGGCTCAAGCAATAGAACTGAAGCTCTTGTAGGCTACGTCAACAACACCAAAGGGCAAAAGAGAAACTGCAAAGCCAATGATGTGGCCAGAATCAGCAGATCAGAGCTCCTGTGTGTCAGCCCTCGTACCTCTCAAAGATCCCCTACCAGAGCACGGCAAAAGTACCACCTCTTTCAAAACAAATGGATGCAAATTGTTGTCCTCAAAGTCAGACTTCCACTGCTGCCTGGACCAAGTGGTATTTTACCTAAAGTATTTCTTGACAAATCAGAAACCAACTTAGTTTAAAATTACTTCTCCTCTATGCCAGTACCTCTGGTTAGTAGAATACAGTGACTAGCTACATGTAATTAAACACATGCTATACGTATCCTCAAGAGTGTTTTCTATTAATTTTCAATCATGTTTAAGCATATGCTACATACATAACTTGAACTGAGCAAGCTTCAAAAATGGATTGTCTTCAGTACAAAAAAAGTAAGAAAAAGTCGAGCACACACATTTGTCTTCTGAAATTCTTTTTTAATTCAACATAAAAGCATTTATAATTTACAGTATTTACAAGTAGTTCAGCTACAAATTTCAGACAAAAATGAAACTATGTTCAGCAGGTCCATTGTAGATAATGAAGTGTCTGAAGTCAGGAAAACTTGCATTAAACACCAGAAAATACTTTCTAGGTGTAAAGACCTCCTATAATAAATTTCCTGATGGGACTGTGGAATCCTTAAACAAATGGGTAGCAGGAACGATGCAGTTCTGGGGAGAAGAATAAACTGTGGACCCGTGGAGGTCCCACTTAGCCCAATGACTGCATCCATTTAGAGAATATAGAAAGTGTATTAATAAACAAGGGCTTCATTATTAAAGGACTGCATTTTTAAAACCACAAGAAAGAAAACTATACAGCTCACTCCTTTCGTAAGATGAAAGGTGCTTTGTGTCTGGTTTGGTGTTTTGGTTTTCTTTGTTGTTTTTTTTTTTTTAAGACATGGTGAAACTATTCATTTGAACCAAGTATAACAGCTTTTATTTATTAATATTAAACTGTTTACATGGCACCACTTCGGAACAACCAGTTATTTCTAGCCTTGAAAAATAAACAGCTCTTCTCATGCAAGTTTCTTTTCCTGCCATATTAACAAGTGAAAAACTACATATAAGTATGCATGTCTTGTGCCCTGGTTTGAAGCAACAAGGACACAAGATGTCTTGTTTCCAGAGGGCAATTAAGCTAAATTACTGATTTATGCAGAAAACCCATAAAAGCCCAACTTGATAGTTCTGTGCCAGCACGCAGCATCACCACAATACTTCACTGTTAACTGAAGATCTGAAAGTAAAAAGTTACAATGTCCATGCAAAAATGAGAACTTAAGAAATTCTTAGAAACGTTGTCAGGTATTACGCTGAAGTTTTGTGATACAATTTCGCTTACGCAGGATATAATGTTTTGGAATTTTATATTCCATCATCCCCCAAATCATTTTTTAAGAGACAGGAAGGGAGAAATACTGAGCAGTCATAACAAGATAAAATTACCTGAGAGAGCCTGAAGTGGTGAAACCTTTCACGTATGTCATACTGGGTTGCTGGTATGCCTATAAACGGCACAGATACTAACTGATTTTGAACCTGTAAATGTTTGGCACTTTGATATCCTGTGTCAAGGTATGATACATGAATATCCAGAAGCTTAAGCAAACTACTTCCTCATCACAAGAATATCCATTAATTTAAACTCATTTAGTAATTAAGTGAAAATGCATAGATAAATACTACCTGACAGCTTCCAAACCCCATGGCTTAGATATTTGGTACTACAGGACTGGAAAAGTAAGGCTAACTAGCTGTAACTAAAAGGCACTTCCCTGTCCCAAGAAGTCCTAACACTACAGGCTGCTAGACTGTACCCTAGCAGAAATATCATCATGTACTTACTCTTTTTAGGCTCTCTTTTACTATCACTCCTAGCAACTGCTGGAAACAAGACTCCGGCAAATAGAACCTGCTAACGCAAGGAACACATTCTTCTCTCACTTTGGCCTCACATTTTCAGCTAGTCACAGCTAGTTAGAGAATCTGGTGCTTTGTGCACCCTTAAGCTTCTTTATTTCACAATTATAAAGCCTGCAAGCTGCTCTGAGAAATTTAAACATCTAAACTATCCCTGTGCTACTGGCACTTGTGAAGTACACACTAGATAGGAGATGCACCTTACGTGCAGGGAGGGGTGTAAATTCAGTGGCTTTTGTAATTACAGTTCAAAAATTTTCATTAAAAAAAAATACATTTAGCCTTGGACAGTTACAAGAACATGTCAGTTTGTGCTATACAACATATACCTACGCACATGAGCTCTCATACTCCCGTGCTTTATTTTCAGCTTACAGAGTACCAGTGCCTTTCCATCACATGTAACTACCTGCCATACCAAATTTTTCCCATTTGCTCACGATTTGTGTATCATTTCTGATCTATCTTAACATTCTTGTCATTAACTATTATCCTAGTATCTGGCTGGTCCCTTTTACTCACATTGGACTCCATGTGACCTGAAAGATTCAGGACAATGCACAATGTAGTAATATTGCAGGGGAAAGTGAAAAGAATCAGAAACAGTCACTTGGTTTTAAAATAAATCTATCTGCCCTCACCCAGCAAAAAACACCATTCCTCTTCCAGCACAGCAGCAGAGGAAAGCCTTCCAGAACAGAGAGCACTTAGCGACCCCTTATGTTCACTCAAGTCTAAGAGGCTGAGTTTTGGTTAATAATTCTTCTAACAGTGCCAGGGTTTCAACACACACAGTTAAGAATGTAAAGCTAGCATTTTCAAGAAATTACATACTTCCAGCAGGCAGATACACCAAATGGAATGATTATTGTGGCTAATTTCTGATCTTGGAGAACAGCAACCTTTCTTTTGGGGGGAGAAAAAACTGACCTATATCTTCCAACACAGAGTAGAGAAGGGAAAAATAGCTACTGCCTTTAAATCATCAGTAATCGATTACGTACCATTGTGGTTAATGTTGGATATCTGCGGGAATGGAAGCAGTCCAGAAACTGCTGTATAAACTAACTTTATCTTAGGATGTCCCATCCCTGGCAGTGTTCAAGATCAGGCTGGTTCAAGATCAGGCTGGCTGGGGCTTTGAACTGCTGGCAGCTGGAAGGTCCCTTGCAACCCAAACCATTCTATGATTCTATGAATGCTCATGCCACTGAGATAGATAAGAACAGAAGTATTATGATACTTTTTTTCCTTTAAAACCACCTGCTATAACATGTAAACATTTCTAACAATCCTATTAAAAATATCTTTTAAAACAAAGATATGATTTGGTATAAATGCACCACCTTGTGTCTGCAAAACACCCTTTTTCTTTTTTTTTTCTGAACTAAGCTTCATTAGGAACTATTGCAAACATTTCCTACAATCAGAAAATACCTCTCAGATCTCAACTAAAGGGAAATAATTGGATTGCAGGCATTAGGCTCAAAAGCTTTTAAATATAAAGATAAAATCCTCATCCTTCAGTTTTCAACACTTTCATTTCATTCTACAAAATTCAGAGGGCTGTCAGATGACAACTTCTGAAATACAATTTATCACATTTTCTATTCTCTTGACATGGGGGAAATGGTAGTCATTTTCAACCTGCTAGAAAGCATGTTTGGAAGAAGTTCTGTTGATATCTATTTCAAAAAATCATATCATTCTAAGAACTGGGACAAAAATGCTCCTGAGGAAAGTATGCTTCTGCACTTTGAAAACATTTTCTCAATATTTTGTTCAACCATGCATTACACTTTTTTCCCCAACAAGCATAAGCCACCATGGTAATGCAGGAGTTACCCAGAATGTGACATGCTTACACAACGTATCTAGATGAACCAAACGGATGAATCTATACACAAATAACAGCACCTTTAAAATAGCTTTTTTCAGTCACAGGACTTAAAATTGAAAGGAAAAAGCCTACTGTTTACTTGCTGAAATGTACAAAGCAATGGACTTGGAAATACATATTTCAGTGCAGAAAAGACTATAAATAACTGGTTTTAGCTACAGACTAAATTCTTAAGATACACAGAAAAAGGCTATAGGCATATTCTCACTTAAAAGAAATAGCATTTTGTTTAATACAAAAATAGTTTTCAAGAGAAAAGACAAGCAGGAGAAATATCTCTAGCAAAGACAAAAGCTCCCAAAATAGTTCTTGCACACCTCTATCATAACCAAGTGAAGGCCTTTTAAGCATTAATTTTGAAAAGGCTTTGAAACTGAAGGAAATTAACACAGCTGCTGCTTTATACTCCTTCAAGAAGACGCTCGTTCTCCATAGAGTACTGTTAAAAAAGTGCTATTTCAAAAAGAATAGTGAATTATGTCACACAAACACTTCTAAAGTGGTTAGTATGAAATTTCCCCCATACTTTTTACGCTGTTCTCAGGCACTATCCTCAGTGCCTGATCAGGATTCCGTTGTCTATACTGTGCACTGGTTATTCGCGTTGGATCAGAGCAAATACACCTTGTAGATTTTCATAATATAGCCTGGACATTCCATAATCTTCAGTAATGCTGTTCCTCCTGAGTTCTGATTAAACACATCAGCTATCCTGGTTAGTCAGCTGGCCTGTAAGCAATCACAGGCTGCTCTTCACCAACATCTATCAACATATCTAATGGAACATGAGGCTTGTCATAGCCAGAAAACTTGAGACAGCTGTTTGGAATGACTGTCTGCTGTATTTCTGTGGCAGGAACATCTGGACCTGAAGAGTTACAGCATATATTCATTTGGCTACTGTCAGAAATAAAGTAATTCTCTCTTACTTTGTGATTTTGTTCATCATCAGCAGATACCTCCTCTGTGCTTTCCTGCACAGACACCTCTTCTGCTTTGGCTGGCGCCTCTGGCAGAAGAACAGAAGATATTCCTTCACTGGAGTTCTCAGGACTATCAGTTTCTTCTTTTGGCTCTACCTCCAGTGAGATTACTTCATCATTCTGTGGCAACACTGACTGGCCTGCCACGAAGCTTATTACAGACATATATTTTACTTCCGATTTTGGTTCTGGAATGCTGTCTGTGTTCAGGTTTCTTATCACACTGACCTTAAATTGGAAAAAAAAAAAAAAAATCCCTTTCAGTTCCACATAACCTACTAATTTGCTTTATCGTCTGTCAAAGTTTTGAGGTTGAAAAATAGAAAGTAACAAGTTCATAATACAGATTTAATGTTATTAAAAACCAATCCCAACAGAAATTACTAAAAATAGAATCTGGCTAGGTCAATTAGACTACATCTGTGACTTGAACTGTTCCATTAACACTTTCATGCAAGCTTCTATAAATACTTTCTATGTGCAAACAAGTATGCAAGGACCAAATCCATTTCATGTCACCCACTATATTTTAAGTTATTTCAAGTTTGCAATGTAGAAGAAACCAGTGAAGGAAGAAAAAGATGTAATACTCTGCAACTAGCTGAGGAAACCTTTCATATTTATAGCTAATGAGTGTAACTAAAATGCCTAGTATTTTGTGGCAACTGTCTCAACTAGGAGGGAAGTGAATTTTGGCAAGAGGTCTTTAAAACTACATGAGAACCTTTATGCGTACCCACTAGTCACATCTACGCTGAAGTCCTACTTATTTTCTCCTTCTTCCCCAAGCACTTCCTCAATGCTGTGACAAGCTTTTAACATTTCACTTTGAAACTCCTCCCCATGAAGAACATACCAATTCCTTCAATGGCCAGGCTGCACCTTGTTTTAAACATTTATGACATACTTTCAGGCAGTTTAGATTCTTTTATATATATGTACGTGTGTGTGCGTCCGTGTGTGTGTGTGTGTGTGTGTGTTTTCAAGGGCAGTTTAGGTTCTTTTATATGTATGTGTGTGTGTGTTTTCAAGGATACTTATGAAAATCAAGTAGGGTAAATTTTCAACTGTCTGACAGCATTCCCTAAAGCTAATAGAAAGCACAGGGAGAAAGGGTTATTCAACTAAAAAGCACCCTTTTCTAAATTTCACAATTCAACATATGTCTATCAGAGATGACCAAGTACTATAGATAAGCTAATTTCTTAATAAAATGTACACAGTCACTTTTTTCTGAGATACTTTGTAAACAAACAGTCTGACTGAAAAATCAGGTTGAGACAAATTTGGAAGAAAGGGATGTAGGTAGGAGGAGGAAAGTGAAAGAAAAATAATGTTGTTTTAAGAAAAGCTACAAATAGGCAAAAAGAACCTCCCAGTCTGTATTAGTGTTAAGAACTGAGCCATCAAAATCAAATCTGATTGTCCTTTTCCAGAATCTTCCTTGATCAGAAGGTTGGTGAGGCTGTAACTTTGCAGTCTTGCCTTCACAGTGTGCTGACTTCATTAGAACTTCCTTCATCACTCACTTAAGCCCCATACCTTCCCCCCCAAGTGCCCTGATATCTGTTGATGGTACTGTGGTTTAGGCTGGATCAATGGAACTACTGGAGCTTAAAAACCAAACACCATCACCACAAAACCCTAACAAGCATTCCCTGGAGAGCAGTTATTTGTAACCTAAGTGAGTTTTATAAACAGCTGGGTTAGCTCCACTAAAGTGAGGCAGTCCTCTTGGCTACCACTGGAAAGCTAGTAAAAACAGCATTAAGGTGGCTCTTAACACTGAGAATATACCACACTACAACCTTGCTGTCACTCAGCCATCATTCTCTCTGGATGTTCATTTTCTGCTATGCAGAAGCACTCAATACTATATAAGTAATGTTCAGAGTAATTTCCATGAGCATGTATGGAAACCACCCATTCCTAAGAAGCAGAATCTTAGAAGATAGTTACAGAAATCAGAAAACAATCAATAATGCACAGATACTAAAAATGTTATGAACAGCTGGTAGGATTAATGTACCTTTTGAAAACCTGTTCATACAGATATCTGAAAAAACACTGGATATTATGCTATACCAACACTGACCTTGAAGGGACCAGCACCTGTAATTTTAGGGTGAGCAGCAACACTCCAGTAGTCACACAGTAAGTGACAAGAGAAGACAATGCGCTATGTAAGCTGGAATACTTGAGGAATGCAAATGAAAACAAAATGCTACAGAAGCTATGGCTAAAAGCTGCATTTACAACTTTCCACTTCTCTCCATACCAGTACATGCTACGCTGAAGTTAAAACCTAAACCCAAGGACTTCTTGCTTCTGTTCTTCTTAGGATTTTCATGTAGCTCTAAAAAAATCAGTCCTAAAATGTGTTAAGGGACCACACTATACTCTCTGCAGGTTCTGCATTTCACAGTGCCAGCTGGCAATACTAGAGATAGAAACCCCAAATAAAGTAAGTACCCTCTGTGCAACTACATCCAAGACTTTAGTTCTCAAAAAGGAAATTGTTTTTCTCTCAGTTTTTGACCAAAGCAAGACAATGCAAATAAACTCTTATTCCCATCCATGAAAGAAGATAGCAATCAGAATTAAAGGACTCTTGCAAGTTTCCTGGTACCAAAGGTTCTTTAAAAGTCACTGAGTGATGACAATGTAGCAATTCATGCAGTTGTTTCTAACTTCCATGACAAGAAGTTAGCTTACTGCACTAACTGGAATGCCATTCAAAGCATCTCAAGCAGGCAAGAGTAATTAAGATACGGTTGTTATTTGAAGAGAAGCATTTACTGTAAGCAAGTTAGTATTTTTCTTTTGTGCACATTATCTCATACTAGCAAACTGACAACCAGTGAGTTTAAGCTGGATGACAGCAGTATTTCCTGGCATGTACATACAGGTGCTCAGATATCTTCCTGTCTTCAGTCGCAGTACCTGAGCTTTCAGGTCTTCCTTTTCTCAACAGACTAGGAAGATACACCAGTGAAAACCAGGATAAAGGACACACATAAACCACATATCCAAAAAAAAAAATCCATAAAAGGTACCAGTTTCTTTCTTATTTTCTAAGGGCTCGTCCACCTACAAATTCCAATTTTAAGATGCACATTTTCTGAGGAAAGTTTGAGAAGTCAGTTTCAAATCTTGTTAGGACCTTGACAAAATCTGCACAGCCTTTGCGTGGTCCACAACAACTTAATGCTGTGTAAATGCATGAACAGGAGACTGTGGTACTGCCCTGCAGGTGCTGACAAAGGGGGAAATATTCACAAAAGCTAACGAAGCAGCTTTTCTAAGATGACAAATTATTTGGGCAAGTATCAGTCAAAGTTTACAGGACCAATTACAATCCTCCAAATCAAAAATATATGTTCCAAATCAAAAACATCGTATAACTAAAAAAGCCAGAGTCAAACAGAAAATTCTTGCATTTCACGAATATCTGTAAGCGTTCTACAAATAACGTGAGAGAACACAGCCTTGACAATTCAGTCAGGCTCACAAAAAGCATCAGCAGACAGCAAAAAAGCTAAAACACTGAAGCTGGTTATTCTCAAGGATTCTCTCTCAGAGAGTGGATGTTTTCTACCCATGAAAATATTTGCCACCATTTAAAGAGGCAGTGGGGGAAAAAGAAGTGAAGTTAAAGCAGAGGAGATGCCTGTAGCATACCGGTAAATCAAGACCGGGCTCCTTTGAAAGTGGGTAAGCCCTTATCACAAATCTTACAACAAAAATCTAGTACAGGACAACTAACACAGAAGACAAACTGGAATGACTGAAGATGGTTGGTGGAAGAAGACAGCCTCTTGAAATACTTTTTTGAGATAAACAAAAGAAAACTAATGCCTCTACCTACAGCTGGACTCCTGTGATCCAGCAGAAGACCAGTATGATGAAGTTTTGTAAAGGAATCTGTCCCATTCACTAAATACATATCCTGGTAGGATTCTACTAGGAAGTGACTGAAATGTTACTCTTGGGAGTCACAAGCAGCACAACAAAGACTAACTATAGAAAATTTCTTTGGATCTAAATGGCAATGAATTTTTTTATTTAATTTGGGTATACAAGAGCTGCAAGCGTAGCTGCTTGATGATTACCATTTTCTTAGTTCTCCTTCTGTTGGAGAATTTCAACTTGCTAAAAGTCACTCAAATGGTGTTTTAGCATCTACTTAAAGCCACCAGGAAGCAGATCACCGGAAGGCAGCAGTCCTAAGATACGACACCTTGGCTAGCCTTTAAAGAGATGGAAAAATTCCCCAGGTTTCATTTTCAGACAAGCTCAGGTAAAGCACAATGTTCATAATCTGTACAGAAAGAAACATCTAGTACACATTCAAAGGTCAGGGTCCCAACTGCAAGAAGTCTAGAGACAGCTTCATATCATTAAACTTACTATTCAGATCATTTACATTATTTATTACTTTAAATGAGTAATCATAAAATAATCTATAATTAATTAGCTAAGTACTTATTTTACAGTCCCACATTAGTCATATCTGCAGTTCGTATTTGTTACTAGAAACTTCAATGAAAATGGACATAATCGCAGAATATCTTGAAGGAAGGGACCCATGCATCCAGTTGCACAGACTTTCAGAATACTAGACTGGTACATTTATGAGACCATGGTTGAAAAAAAAAACCAAAAAAACACAGGCATAAAGGTGTTATAGTTATAAAAGATAACTAGCTAGATATTAAAAAATCTGGTGCAGAAAAGTCTGAACTTACCAAAGACTTAGGTAGCTTTATGTTGTTCTTCCTTAGTTTCTTGCAGCCACAACATACTGTCAATATTAGGGTCAGGCTCAGAATAGCAACACACAGAATGATGATGTATTCTGTGCCTAAGGAGATAGACAAAATCTGTTAGAAAGCACTGCTGTACCATTTAGAATAACTTCAAAAAAAGTAACAGCTCAGAATGACAAATACACATTATAGCTATGCAATTTACCACCTTTTTCACTCAAAAAAAACTTAATTTACAAAGCATTATATCAAGTAAATAAAAATTAGAATGAAGATTTTCAATTCCTGTCAACAAATGATGCTTTACAGAGGTAAAAATTTTGCAATTAATTTTTTATTCCTTAGAGATGATGGGGGGGATGAACAGATTTGTATGTTTTACATACAAATAGCTAAAATGTGACGTCTTCCATAACATAAAATTGTTAACTTTTACTATTAAGATTCTGCTAGTCTGACTGTCCTTAGCATCCGCCCCCCTCAATCATAGAATCATAGAATAGTTAGGCTTGGAAAGGACCTTAAGATCATCTAGTTCCAACCCCCCTGTCATGGACAGGGACACCTCACACTAAACCATGTCACCCAAGGCTCTGTCCAACCTGGCCTTGAACACCACCAGCGATGGAGCATTCACAACCTCCCTGGGCAACCCACTCCAGGGCCTCGCCACTCCTACAGTAAAGAACTTCCTCCTTATATCCAATCTAAACTCCCCTGTTTTAAGTTTCAACCTGTTACCCCTTGTCCTATCACTACAGTCTCTAATGATGAGTCCCTCCCCAGCATCCTTGTAGGCCCCCTTCAGATAGTGGAAGGCTGCTATGAGGTCTCCACGCAGCCTTCCCTCCTCCAAGCTGAACAGCCCTAACTCTCTCAGCCTCTCTTCAAATGGGAGATGCTCCAGCCCCCTGATCATCCTCGTGGCCCTCCTCTGGACTTGTTCCAACAGTTCCATGTCCTTTTTATGCTGAGGACACCAGAACTGCACACAATACTCCAAGTGAGGTCTCACAAGAGCAGAGTAGAGGGGCAGGATCACCTCCTTTGACCTGCTGGTCATGCTCCTTTTGATGCAGCCCAGGATACGGTTGGCTTTCTGGGCTGCAAGCACACACTGCTGGATCATGTTCAGTTCCAACACCCCCAAGTTCTTCTCCACAGGGCTGCTCTGAATCTCTTCTCTGCCCAACCTGCAGCTGTGCCTGGGACTGCTCCAACCCACGTGTAGGACTTTGCACTTGGCATGGTTAAACTTCATAAGGTTGGCATCAGCCCACCTCACAAGCATGTCGAGGTCCCTCTGGATGGCATTCCTTCCCTCCAGCGTATCAACCGAACCACACAGCTTGGTGTCATGGGCAACCTTGCTGAGGGCGCACTCAATCCCACTGTCCCTGTCAGCGACAAAGATGTTGAACAAGACCGGTCCCAACACCGATCCCTGATGGACACCACTCGTTACTGGTCTCCAGCTGGACATTGAGCCATTGACCACAACTCTTTGTGTGTGGCCATCTAGCCAGTTCTTTATGCACCGAGTGGTCCATCCATCAAATTGATGTCTCTCCAGTTCAGAGACAAGGATGTCGTGTGAGACAGTATCGAACGCTTTGCACAAGTCCAGGTAGATGACATCAACTGCTCTATCCCTGTCCATCAGTTCCATAGCCCCATCATAGAAGGCCACCAAATTGGTCAGGCAGGATTTCCCCTTAGTGAAGCCATCCTGGCTGTCACCAAGCACCTTGTTTTTCATGTGCCTTAGCATGCCCTCCAGGAGAATCTGCTCCAAGATTTTGCCAGGCACAGAGGTGAGACTGACTGGTCCATAATTCCCTGGGTCATCCGTTTTCCCCTTCTTGAAAATGGGGGTTATATTTCCCTTTTTCCAGTCATCGGGAACTTCACCTGACTGCCATGGTTTTTCAAATATGATGGACAGTGGCTTAGCAACTTCACTCGCCAGCTCCGTCAGGACCCGCGGATGGATTTCATCAGGTCCCATGGTACCATTTCATCAGGTACCATTGCTTTTGTGTATAAAAAAAGGAACACAACTGCGTCTATCAATTTTATCTCTCTTCTCTATTTTTGGGCCATAATGAAGTAACATTTAAAATTTTCTAAGAGGTTATTTATATTATTACATAAAGTTATAACTTTATATAATAAAGTTATCCCAACTTTATGACAAGTTTATAGCTGCTTCAAACTCAAGGAAATGTACATACATGCTCCAAAATGATGAGACTAAGCAAAAAGTCATTTGTTAGAAGTGAGACAATGTTTCTGAAAACCATGCAACTTAATGAATGATCCATTTGTCACTTGTTAATTACACTAATCATCAGGTGCAATGGAAACAGGTCTTGTAATACCAGTGAAGCAGGAAAAGCACCCAAAATTAAGGGTTACTTAAAAATAACACATGATCTTCAAAGGTCTGTAGAACTGGAAAGTGCTTTTGAGAAAGAATGACGATGCCTTCCCTTTTTTCATATTCCCCCATAAGCATCCAAGTCATTCCATGGCTGTATCAGAGCTTGAATACTTAGCTAGATCAGATCTCTGGTCAGACTCAGCATGTTTGTACTAAAGCTTTAGAATCCTCTTACTCAATGTCCACTTGAGAGGAATATCAATGCAGCTTTCTTCTGATGGGGCACCAATTATCAGATTGCCATATAGAGTTCCCTTTGCTGAAACACAGTAAGTGGAACCTTCATCAGGAACTGGGATGTTGACGCTACATTTATACATCGTACAGCTGTCTTCTGAGAAGAATTTTTTGCTCTGTAACAAAAAATTAAAGTCACATATCATTTGAGTCAACACAACAATATAGATATTACAGTATCTACCAATACTTCTAAAAATCCTAAAACAGTATTTGGTATAGCTCCTACATCACCTATATGCCTTGCAAAAGCTGTGTAAACTTCAGCCATCACTTTATGAGCTACCTTCAGATGTTCTCTCTGATCAGGCTTCCAGGTAAAATTTGTGCTGTTCATGGTCTAGATTTGCAGCCCTAATTCACTTATAAAACTTGTACGCTGTTGTGGCTTAACCTCAGCCAGTAACTCAGAACGATGCAACCACCTGCTCACTATCCACCCGTTTTCTCCCCCCACTCCTAGAGGGAAGGGGAGGAGAATGGAAAGAACGTGACTCCCACAGGTTGAGATAAGAACAGTCCAGTAAGTAAGGTATAACACAAACCACTGCTGCTGCCACCAATAATAATAATGATAAGAGAAATAACAAGGGAAGAGAATACAACTGCTCACCACCCGCCAACTGATACCCAGCCCAACCCGTGCAGTGATCTAGACCTTCCGGGTAACTGCCCCCAGTTTATATACTGGGCATGACATGCTGTGGTATGGAATACCCCTTTGGTTAGTTTGGGTCAGATGTCCTGTCTCTGCTTCCTCCCGCCTTCCCCTCCTCCCCAGCAGAGCATGAGACTCAGAAAGTCCTTGGTCAGAGTAAACATTACTTAGCAACAACTAAAACCATCGGTGTTATCAGTCAGTGCTGTTCCCAGGCTGAAAGTCAAAACCACAGCACTGCACCAGCTACTAAGGAGAAAAGTGACTGCTACTGCTGAACCCAGGACATATCCATATGAAAAGGTAACTGTAAATAAACACATCTATTACAGTTTTTCTCAAAAACTAAATAAAATTATTATTAAATAAAAAGAGTTATCAGTTTCTTGAAAGGTAATCTTCTTAAATGGAAAGTCTAGCTAGACAAGTAAAAGGTGCATGAGTTACTAATGTTTTAGCACGCATGCAGAAACCATACCATGAGATCCAGTAACTATCTTGTATACAACTAATACAGTAACCTCATGTTTGTTATAAGACATCCATTTGGACAACTAAAATCCAGGCCTTCCAGTCTCGTATCTCACTGTGACACACTCCACATTTTAGGGCATCAGTGGTCCTGTGTTACGTTCAACTGTTTTCTTGGTATCTGTTCCTCTGTGTCACAGGAGTGAACATCTTGTTTGTAAGTTTCAGGTAAACAAGTATTTTTAATTTGCAGTTTTCATCTGGAACTCACCTGAGTTTTACTATCCCAAAAAGTCACCAAGTACATGATCTCTGAATAAATGTCTTCAATCCCAGGAAGAAGCTCCACTGATGGGAACGCAGGATGGTAAATATCAACCACAATTTTATCACCACGCCTTGAGAGATTCAGTTTTGGTGGTCCTATTTTGCCTGCAATACATTGCACCTTTGCTATTAGGCCAAAGCTTTTAACATAAAACATGCTATTTATAGGTACCTTTCAAAAATTCAAAGATTTGAGAAGAATTACATGCTTATTTCAATGCTGTTAATATTGAGTAGCTATGACACGTAAGAGGTATTTGGATACATTCATGAATCTACTTCTAAAACAGAAACAGAGATTGTCTGTGCAGAGCTTCATTGTTAAGTAACCCAACTGTCCTATATGCATAAAGCCATAAAAATTCAGATCACTGAAAACCAGAAAAATCTAGCAAAGGAATTAAACTTACATGTGAATAAGAACAAACGACAAAATACTTCTGACTAGATCCCATCATAAATTACACTCAACTAAAAACAATACTGTTCTGAAACAAAGGTTACCTGAAAATCTAAACAAATCTCATCTTGAGCAACAGTACTCAGGAAACCTGATTCCCCATGGAAATGGGCTATGTGAACTTCCAGCATCTAATAATCTGACTAAACATATGAGTTCCAGCTAAACAACTTTCATACTTCATTTCATCCCAGACTCCTGAATTTATGACATTCATTCCCTAATGAGACACAACAATACAACAAAAAGGATAATTACTAAGTTTTTTAATCTGGGGGGGAAATTACGAGGTTTAGTTTATGATGGAACTTACCATGCTTTTGCAAAATAAACTCATTTGTCTCAACATACTCAGACTGTTGTGACCCAACAACAGCTTTAACTCGAAGCCAGTGAGAGGCAAAAGGCTCATATATTTCCCTTGAGAGATCACAAAAATGAGCTGAAATGTTTACACAAGTTGAGACGATCTTATAGTAACCTAAACTGTAAAACAGATGAAGTAATAGTTAATACAATTTGAGCTGCACAGTATTGTACAATACACTGCCTGGACAAAATATCTGTGAGGGTGACAGAGCACTGGCACAGGTTGCCCAGGGAGGTTGGGGTGTCTCCATCCCTGGATATATTCAGAAGCCATCTCGACATGGCCCTGGGTGACCTGCTCGAGATGATCCAGCTTGAGCAGGGGGACTGGAGCTACAGAGATGGCCTCCAGAGGTCCCTGCCAACCTCAACCACCCTGTTATTTGACAATTTCTCCACGAATTTACACATAGGCAACCCTCACCCCATTGAAAGAAAATAATTTACTATGGACTGATTGCTTTTTTATGCTTCTAGAGACTATCAGATACAGGAAATGACAAAAGACTAAGAACTTACCTGTAAGGTTTGATTTCCACAATAAAACGAGGCGTTTCAGACATAGGTGGGTACTGCCAATGCAAGATAGTTTTGAAATTTTCTGATGTTACTGTGATCTGCATTGGTGAAGGCACTACAAGAAATAGAAAAATTGCACTTTCATAAGCAGACCCAGTCAAATGTAAGAACAAGCAAATATATTTTCTAAATTACTTGGAAAAGGCAACATACTTGAAATGACTGAAAAAATGAGACTATTAATAATCACAAATACTTCCCCTCAAATGGACTAGTTTGTCAACAGTATGAGTAAGTACTAGTCCCATAAGATGATTTATTAATGTCACCTACAGAGACAGCTTTCTCAATGTTTGCAATCCAAAACCTATATAACACACACACGTTGAAAACAGGTCCATCAGATAGCCCATATCAGATTCTTAATCTATGGTGATTATACCCCTATGTTGGTATTATATGGGTATACCAACAAGACACATAGTATGAATCTATTTAAGTCAGAGGAAATTAACACAGCTCCTGTAGATTTCTCTTGCTCTTGGAAACTGAAGGAGGAAGAAAATACCAAAGCTGCAGTACCAATGTCTGTGGTTCAGAGGTGCCCTACTGAATCCTACAGTCTCCTTCCTAACGCAGGCTTGCCAAAAACACAACAGGCCTGCCAGGGAACACCTGTATTCAACACGAATTGCTGACAATGACATTTTTACCACTCCTGTAGTATTTTCAGAAAGCTGTAATGATGACTATAATAGACTACTAACATTTGTAAGGAATTTGAATACTGAAGCTGTAATACAGTTCTATATACAGGAAAGTGTTTAAAGGACATTCAGTAAACATCAAAGGTAATGCAGTAAGACATACAAAAATAAAAAGCAGCATGGATAGAAGCTTGCTGTATTAGACTATTTTAAGCACCAACAGTAACAGGGATATTGGGGAAGCAGCTCCAGGGGAAGGAAATTACATGATTTTGTAATTATTGAAGGCTGTCACGAGGGATTCAGAAGGAGAAGAAGGAACCCGATGGTCACTCAACCTATTTTAATAGTTACTTCTTAGCTTCTCAATGTCTAGTTTGGCTTTCTTAATATATCTTTCGTGAAATTATGACAATTAACTCATATTTGACCTGCTCTACGCTGCTGCTTGCTCATAAAGCGTTCCAACTTCACTCTGTGATATACTGAGGGAAAGTAAACATTTTTCACCTCTTGAGAACAAGACCACAAAGATGACACTCTACAGAAAGTAATACACAGAGGCCGAGATATGCTATTAACCACGAAGACATGATACACATAACACACATCATTGCAAGTGGTGCTGTGGTTTAGTTAAGTTTTAATACATTCAGAAGTGGTATTTCAGTTACTGGAAAAAGGAACACAACCATCAAATTCTCAACCACAAGAAAAAAAAGGTGACAAGTTGACAGAAGAGGTGTCAAAGTACACAAGTGTTACCTCAAATTTTTAGCATTACTTCAAATTTTTAGTGTTAAGGCACAGCAGTAAGTCTTACAAAATTTTACTTTTGTGTACTCTTATACAAATAAAACTACACTTAACAGAAGAGTGGAAAATGATGTCCCAGAGCATATCTGAACTGACAGTAGACGCTACATGGCTTTTAGTTATGCTATTACATACCACCTTGCTTTCTCCTCCCTCATTCTTCTTCCCAACCCCACATTTTTGTGAGTTTTTTGTATACAGTCAGAGTTGCTACCCTGGATGCAAAGAAAGAAAACTTTAGAGCTACTCAGGGAGCTACTTAGCAGTATCCCCTGGGGATCTGCTTATGAGGGCTTCGGGATCCATGAGGGCTGGTCAGCTTTTAAGACAGACCTTTTAGAGCACAGAAGGAGGTAATCCCATGGTGTCCTAAGTCAAGCAAGCAGGGCAGACCAGCTTGGCTGAACAGGGAACTCATGGAGCTCAGGAGGAAAAAGAAACTGTATGACCTCTGGAAGCAAGGTCAGGCTTTGCAGGAAGATTACAGAGCCATGGTTTGGAGGAAGACACAAGAAGCCAAAGCTAGTTGAAATTGGCCAGTGTTGTTTCAGATAAGAGGGCTTTTTTAAGTACATTAATAGCAAATGGAGTTCTAAGGAAAACACTGGACCAACTTGTTGAACATAGTCACTTAACAGGGATGAAGAAAAAGCAGATCCATTCTATGTTGGGGTTTTTTGCAGGTTTTTGGTTGGCCTTGTGTTGTTGTTTTTTTTTTCTCAGTCTATAATAATCATAGAATCACAGAATAGTTAGGTAGACCTTGGGATACCTGATCCTCTAAGTCAGAGGACCCTGAGTGAGGGAACAGTGACTTATTTCAGTGAGCACTGAAACTTTAAGTGGCCAGCTGTATCAGCTGAATGTTCACAAATCCATTGGGCCTGAAGGGATTCACCCCACAGCACTGAAGAAGCTAGCAAATGTTAGAGCAGGATGTTTCTTGATCATCTACCAAAGTCCTGGGGAGGTTACTGTCGACTGGAAACTAGCCAACACTACTCCAGTTTACAATACGGGCATGAGGGAAGACCCAGGAAGCTACAGATCTGATAGACAACTTCAGTACCTGGAAAATTTATGGAGAAGATCATACTGGGTGCAACTGAAAGACATTTAAGAACACCACAATCATCAGGCACAGTCAACATAGGTTCAAAGGAAAAGCCCTGTTAAACTAATTTAATATCCTTCTACAATAAGGTCATCTGCCAGGTGGATGAGGGGACAGCAGTAGATGTACTTTTCCTCTGGATTTCAGTAACGCTTTTGCTAGTGTCCCTCACAGCATCCTTCTGGACAAATTGTCCAACTCTGAGATGAGCAGGTACCTGATGCTCTGGGTGAAGAACTGGCTAAACAGCAGGGCTCAAAGGGTTGTAGTGAATGGGGCTGCCTCAATTCTAGGACCTGCTCTTATCAGTATTTTTGCCAATGATCTGGATGCAGAGGGATCTACATAGATTAGAGCATTGGACACTGATTAATGGGATGAAATTCAAGAAGTCCAAATGGCAGATTATGCACGGCGGGCACAAGTATAAACTCAGAGGGGAGTGGCATGGCAATGTAATACTCTGAAGTACTTGTAAACTTCAACTCAACTAAAAACTAAACAACTAAAAGCAACTAAAAAGCAACTAAAATGACTCTACTCCTCCACAGCTTCATGAAAGACTACTCAACCTAAGCCTCTGCTCTTTTACCCAGAGATCATTTTTAACACACTCCAGCTCTGAGACTTTCTTCACGAACTGTACCACCATACAAATCACCTTACCAGGCACCAGGAACATCACCATCAAAACATCAGTACCTCTGATGGCACTACAAGTTGGCTTTGATCACTTACAGGAACGAGTTTTACACAGACTGTTACCACATGGTGGCAAAGATTCAGTAGGTGGGACTACTATGTGATGTGTGTATTTATACATACATAATCAAATACCTTCTCCATGTGCAATTATCATAGAATCATAGACCAGAAAGGACCTGAAGATCATCTAGTTCCAACCCCCTGCCATGAGCAGGTGCACCTTATCTAGACCATATCAGCCAAGGCTCTGTCCAACCTGGCCTTGAACACTGTCAGGGATGGAGCATACACTGTTTCTTTGGGCAACCCATTCCAGTGCCTCACCACCCTCACAGTAAAGAACTTCTTCCTTTTATCTAACCTGAATTTCCCCTTGTGAAGTTTAAACCCATCATCCCTTGTTCTGTTGCTACAGTCTCTGATGAAGAATCCCTCTCCAGCATCCCTGTAGGCCCCCTTCAGCTATTGGAAGGCCACTATGAGGTCTCCATGCAGAATTCTTTTCTCCAGGTTGAACAGCCCCAATCTTCTCAGCCTGTCTTTCCACAGGAGGTGCTCAAGCCCCCGATCATCCTTGTGGCCCTCCTCTGAACTTGCTCCAACAGCTCTATGTCCTTCGTATGTTGAGGACACTAGAACTGCACACAGTACTCCAAATGGAGTCTTATGAGAGAATTAACTAATGTATTTCAGTTCTGTTAATGTATTTAACATCTTCAGGAAATTTGCATAGCAGACAGGAAGGACATACATGTGGGAGGAAAACCAATGCAACCAAAAAGAGTTGTTTTACTGCAAATATGGGCTGCTTGGTTTCAGGCTGCTAAGAAATAATGGGGTTTTTTGGTTTGTTGTTTCGTTTTTTCCAAAGTAACAGGAACAGTATACCTAGTTGCACCTTCTAAGACTAAGGAAGATAACTCATACAACTAATTCACTAGTTGCATACAATATATGATACAGTTCTGCTTCAAAAGCATTCATCAAGCCAGAAGAAATGCTTGCTTGTATCTACAAGAGAAGTCTAGTCTAACTTGTCTTGACTTGTCTTGTTTTGTACATTCACTTCCCCAAGTTGAACACGCCACACTACACATCTTTCACAAATCTCATGAGGGTCAAAGACATGCAGAAGATTTTTACACTAGCTTGAAACTACTCTACCTTGTTCACTATATAAAAGCTCCTGAATAACACTATGTATAGAAAGGACTCATGAAATAGAAGTTTGAAGCAAGCATATATTCAATAAAATCTCTTTTTAAGCATATACAGAAGGACTTGATTTTTTTATATATATATGTATGTATATATGTAATACACATATATGTAGATGCCTCACCAGACCATTAAGCCTCAGCAATGCATCACCCAACAGCAAAAAAATCAAAACAATGAACTACAGAAAGACAAGCTATGAAAAAAAAAGAAAAATTTGAAAAGAGCTGTTGAAAGTCTCCTCCTTTCTTCTGGATTTCCATGAAAACCCAACAAATCCTTACAATCCCCAAGTGATACACCACAGGAAAAGAGTTTTAAGTCATTTCGATGGGCCAAGAGGAACAACGGTTTGAACTCTGCTGTGGATTCACGCCAAGTGTGTAACTCATTATTTAACCAGCTGAAAGACAGCCAGACACACCATGCTAACAAATCAGTCCCTTCTGGTCCTCTGACTGGGAATACAGTGTGCTTTCCTTATGCCAGCCCTGTGCTCCACTTGAGCTCCTATATCCACTTCAACTGCATCCAGAAAGGGTAGCAGCTTTGGCGACTGCACAATTGTGAAAAACTAACTCTCCTCAGCTTTCACCACCACTGAAAGAGAAGACAAGGGAAAAGACATCAGAAAAGTCCACACTACCCAAGAATACTCTCACAGGACTTTGAAGCCATACACAGTGAAGAAAAAGAAAAAAATGCAAGTGTCAAAAAGGCAGCCAAGGCCCTGAAAAACAGGTTCAGAGAGTAGTAAATCAGTGCCAAGAAGGGTGAAAAATAGCACATAAAAATAATTAGTCTGTTTCTAAAAGCTGCATTTCCTTCTAGAATGGCCCTCTTTAATAATTTAGAGTCTCACTTCACTGTTCTGAATCAAGCAAGACTGGCCTGTATTAAAGCAGAGCACAGCCACCTGGTGACTAGAAGAGAGCTAGGAGCACTGCCCAGAACTGCAGGACAGAATTTTAGCTGCAAGAGGTTGGCACTTAGCACAGGCTGCAAGAGCGTCAAGCACATGCCATAGGAAGGAACTGGAAGTGACTGATACACTGATGTTCAAGTATTGGCTCTGTCCACTGCCACATTCCCCTTCAGGGCAGCATGCCTAGGTTAGCATGCATCCATCTCTACTGTGCGCTCCTGGCACTGAAGATGAACAGCCCAGCTACTGCTAGTCAAGACTGCTGGAGGGTAGAGTGCCTGTCTGGCTGGCTTTGGTGGAGTGTGAGACAACCGAGATCACATTCCATCATCCAATGTCTCAAAGATTGGTGTGAGGAGCCAAAGTTCACTGTCCCAAAGATGAATGCAAGGAGCCGAGATCACATTCCACTGTCCACTGTCTCAAGGATTGCTGGTGATGGGAAACTGCTGCTGAGACTACACAGTCAACATGTTCAGCAGAAACAGCCTGACTACAGACAGGCACAGCTAAAGAGCTGATTGCAAGATCAATGAAAGTGGATGTGGGGGATCAACCAGGAATGTGCAATACTTCATATTGCCATGGAAATTAACAATAAGAACACAGGTACTTCCCCCTAATGCATAATAAAAGGGGACAAAGGTAATCACTGCTGTAGCCACCTACTACCAAAGACTACGCACCCTTGGAACGCTGCTGGATCTACAGTGGTGACTATCTCTCCACACTATGTTCCAAACACTTGCTTACTTCCTATCTTCTTTTCTGATCTGCCTATTGCTATTAAATAATTATCTTTTTTAATAATTATCATTTTATAATAAATTGACCAATTGCAGTACTTGACCTTGTTTGTGTCTTAATTCTCAACACTGGATTTTATCCAGTCAGACCATGACAGCAGAGGAACTCAACAGAGCAGCAAAAAACAAGCAGCAAGGTGGCAAAAAAATTTGTTCCAGCTACCTGATCGACCGCCTTCTAAGTGGCAGCACCCACACAGCATATGTGGAAAGGTTTGCATGTGCCAGCCTTCACTCATTTCCATTTGTTCCTCCAAAAGCAACCCAGAGCACATACATCTCTTGTAATGTTGCTCCTATACCCTGATTGTACTTAGTTACTAAAACCAATCTTAAATTACTGCAGGTAACAGCAATTTTATGCAGATCATTCTACCAGAAGTTCCCAAAAGATCTTAAATTAAAAAAAGGAAACCACATTTTATTTACAAATTATTCCCTGCTGGTTTCGTCCTCAAGCCTCACAACAAGCTCAAACAAGATAAATACTTCACAGGATACAGAGAACTCTTTCAAAGAGTCACCCTATGTTTGGAGGTGGGACACAGGATCACAGACATATTTCATCACTAACTTTGCAAAGCTTCACATCAAGCTGAGTAACGGGGATATACCCATAGATCCAGATGAAGTTGAATGTACACGACCCATGTGGCGAAAACTTACACGGAATGCACCATCATCATATGCCCATTCATTGGCAACAGTAACCTGGAATGACATAGTACCACTAACAGTGGATGAAATGGTTCATAAACTCTGAGAGTTCGAAGACAATCTCACCCCTTCCATCATCTCAGCTGTGGAAAAGCTGTCCCAGGATCTCAAACAATTGAGGGATGATCTATCTGATTTATCCAGCTCCTCACGTGTACCAACACACATCTCAGCTATTAACAAAAGGTGTCCTATTGTTCGAGAGAGGAGATGCAGGAGGTATATGCCATGGGCTACCCTATGGTTCTACCTGTGGGATCACGGAGAAGACATGACAAAGTGGGATAGAAAACCTACTTCAGCTTTGGAGGAACAGGTCAGTGAATTGAAGAGGGGAGCAAGGGCCAAGACTGATCATGAGAGCTACGGCTTCAGTCTCTGGTGAGCAGTTTCCCAGATGGAGTGGAAGAGCTGATTTTCCTCCAGCTCCTGTGATAACGAAGAATAATCCCTTTCAACACGACTTAAGTGTCCAACGCTGTGATGACCATTAGAGGGGCCCTGCCTCCAGCCAGGTGGAGGTAGGGGACAATCAGATTTACTGAACTGTGTGGATCAGATGGACTGGCACATCAGTCCCACAGAAGAAGGCTCTAGTAGATACCGGTGCACAGTGTACCCTGATGCCATCAAGCTGTCAAGGGGTGGAACCCATCTATATTTCTGGAGCGACAGGAGAATCCCAAGAGTTGACTGTGCTGGAGGCTGAAATCAGCCTGACTGGGAGGGAATGGCAAAAGCACCCTATTGTGACTGGCCCAGAGGCTCCATGCATCCTCGGCATAGACTACCTCAAGAGAGGGTACTTCAAAGACCCAAAAGGGTACCAATGGGCTTCTGGTATTGCTGCTTTGGAGACTGAGGAAATTGAGCAGCTGTCCACCTTGCCTGGTCTCTCAGAAGATCCTTCTGTTGTGGGGTTGCTGAAAGTCGAAGAACGAGTGCCAACTGCGACAACAACAGTGCACCGGCGGCAATATCGCACCAACCGAGACTCCCTGATTCCCATCCATCAGCTGATCCGTAGACTGGAGAGTCAGGGAGTGATCAGCAGGACCTGCTCACCCTTTAATAGCCCCATATGGCCAGTGCGAAAGTCTAATGGAGAATGGAGACTATTGTGGCCTGAATGAAGTCACACCACCATTGAGTGCTGCCGTACCGGACATGCTAGAATTTCAGTATGAACTAGAGTCAAAGGCAGCCAAGTGGTATGCCACGACTGATATTGCCAATGCATTTTTCTCAATTTCCCTGGCAGCAGAGTGCAGGCCACAGTTTGCTTTTACTTGGAAGGGTGTCCAGTTCACTTGGAACCGACTGCCCCAGGGGTGGAAACACAGCCCTACCATCTGCCATGGACTGATCCAGACTCCACTGGAACAGGGGCAAGCTCCAGAACACCTGCAATACATTGATGACATTATTGTGTGGGGCGATACAGCAGAAGAAGTCTTTGAGAAAGGGAGGAAAATAATCCAAATCCTGCTGAAAGCCGGTTTTGCCATAAAACGGAGTAAGGTCAAGGGACCTGCACAGGAGATTCAATTTTGGGGAATAAAATGGCAAGATGGATGTAGACAGATCCCCACAGATGTGATCAACAAGGTAACAGCAATGTCTCCACCAACTAATAAGAAAGAAACGCAAGCTTTCTTGGGTGCTGTGGGGTTCTGGAGAATGCACATCCCAAATTACAGTTCGATTGTAAGCCCTCTCTATCATGTGACCCAGAAGAATGATTTTAAATGGGGCCCTGACCAACAACAAGCCTTTGAGCAAATTAAACGCGAGATAGTTCATGCAGTAGCCCTTGGACCAGTCCGGACAGGGCCAGATGTAAAAAATGTACTGTACACTGCAGCTGGGGAGAATGGTCCTACCTGGAGCCTCTGGCAGAAAGCTCCAGGGGAGACTTGAGGTCGACCCCTCGGCTTTTGGAGTCGGGGATACAAAGGATCTGAGAACAATGGACACTATTGTCCAGGTTATTCATGAGTGTGAAACATGTGCTGCAATTAAACAAGCCAAATGGTTAAAGCCTCTTTGGTATGGGGGACGATGGTTAAAGTATAAATATGGGGAGGTCTGGCAGATTGACTATATCACACTGCCACCAACCCGCCAAGGCAAGCGCCATGTGCTTACCACGGTGGAAGCAACTACCGGCTGGCTGGAAACATACGCTGTGCCCCATGCCACTGCCCGGAACACTATCCTGGCCTTGAGAAACAGATTTTGTGGCGACACAGCATCCCAGAGAGAACTGAGTCAGGCAGTGGGACTCATTTCCAGAATAACCTCATAGATATTTGGGCCAAAGAGCATGGCATTGAGTGGGTATATCACATCCCCTACCATGCACCAGCCTCTGGGAAAATCGAACAGTACAATGGGCTGTTAAAAACTACACTGAGAGCAATGGGGGGGGAACTTTCAAGCACTGGGATACACACTTACCAAAGGCCACCTGGTTGGTCAACACCAGAGGATCTGCCAACAGGGCTGGCCCAGCCCAGTCAGAGCTTTTACATATTGTAGAGGGGGCAGAGTTCCCATGGTGCATATGAAGATTTTGCTGGGGAAGACAGTCTGGGTTATTCCTGCTTCAGATAAAGGCAAACCACTGGGAAGATGGGGAAGTCCAATGTATACCTTAAGGGGATCTGATTTTAGGGGAAAACAGCCAATGAACTTAATTGTATGCTGTTGCCTGCTGTGTAATAAATACTTTTATAGCCCATCAACTAGATGTCTTCAGGTCACCAGCAACTAGCCCTGACTTCCCTCAAACCATCATCCCAACAGAGAATGAACTTTGATAGAACCGGACGAGTTCTGCAGTAAAGGAACGACCAGCATCAGCAGGCAACAATCCAATACTGCACACAGGCTTTCCTGCCCTGAAAGATTGTTACAAGAGATGGAACCTGACATCATGGACTGAATGGACTCGGCAGCATTATAGGGATTGGTCCATGCACTAAGAAAATGACCTCTTTCTCTTGGCCTGTGTGTATATGGATGTATATATGTGGGAGAGCAATGGTGTATTGAAAATGTGGGATCTGAGCATGACGTGAATGGTATGGAATAAGGGGTGGATACTGTCCTGGGTTTAGCAGTAGCAGCCAATTTTTCTCCTTCTTGGTAGCTGGTGCAGTGCTGTGTTTTGACTTCCAACCTGGGAACAGTGCTGGTGATATTGATGTTTTCAGTTGTTGCTAAGTGATGTTTACCCTGACCAAGGACTTTGTGAGGCTCATGCTCTGCCAGGGAGGAGGGGAAGCTGGGAGGAAGCAGAGACGGGGCGCCTGACCCAAGCTAGACAAAGAGGTATTCCATACCACAGCACGTCATGCCCGGGGTGGGGGGTGACTGGGAGTTACCCAGAAAGACACGGGGGCTTCTGGGTCGGACTCGTTTCCCAGCAGGTGGTATTGTATTCTCTTCCCTTGCTATTTTCTCTTATCATTGTTGTCACTGGTGGTAGCGGTGTTGATTTGTGTTGTACATTGGTTGCTGGACTGTTCTTGTCTCAACCCATGGGAGTTGCACTCTTCCGACTCTCCTCCCCATCCCTCTGGGAGCAGGGAAGGGGAGAGCCTCCGGGGGGGGCCTCGATTGCTTCCAGCCCGGCACCACTCACTGGGAGTGAGTCCACAAGCTGTCTGGCTAGGGTTTAAACCACAACAGAAGTACAAAGACCAGGGGTACAATTTAAAGCTATTAATTTTTTAAATATTTAGTAAAATTAACTTAATGATTTCATGAGAATCAGGAATAACACTATACACAGTATTTAATGCACTTTTGCAGGTTCTAATTACAGGAGGTTTCCATTTCCTCAGGGCTCAGAGGTTTGACACTGTTCCACAAAACTCTTAAAATCATTGTTTACAATAAAAATCTCATGGTGGTATGCCGTACTGAGAAGAGAGGCAGACCTAGACCACCATCTTAAAAATACCACTGGAAGTTGCACAAGATGGACATTTTAAAAACTACTGTAGTAGTAGAAGCTAAATACTGTTTTATCTATTTTATGACTATTCTTCCCTTTTTGTTACAGCTGATATTCAAAAAAAGCACTTTCTCATCTAATCTGTTTTTGTTCACAGCTGGACAGACAACTGCTATAAACTGCCAATAATCTGAATCACAAATAACAGGTCAAGACCACCAAGGTTATCAAACACACAAGAGGAAGTCAGCCACAAAAATTAAGCGCACAAATCTCCTTGGAAACCTGGCTTTCAATGTGCATGAAACACCAGAACCTCTACCATAGTCTCCAAATCTTCTATTACTGTAATCTTGACCAGGGACCTCCTCTTCCAGGATACTATAATGCAGACTGAGAGTTCCCATCAGCGAGTGCCCAGCTCCACTGATGAGTCTCAGGCCTGTCAATGCGGGCAGGTTAGGCACCCAGTTGTAGGAAAGGCAGAGGGTGTTCACAGCTACTCAACTGCTGTTAGGTTGTCTGGCTTTTCTAAGGAAAACTGTGTCCTAGAAAAGATGATAAAGATGACTCTGCATTTCCTCATTGCACACTCAGCCTTGAGATACATATTACACTACTGGCACACTGAAAGCCCTT